CCGAGCCCCTCCTGCGGCTCCATCCCACACTCCAGCCCAGCTGTGCAGCACCTGCCCCTGCCCCAGCCCTAGCTCCACACTCCCTCCCTCACTGTGGGGGCCTCAATCTGCGCCCCGCCCCCTTAAAAACAAGAAAAAAATATAAAGTGGTACATGAGCTGAAACTTTGGGGCAGAAGGGGTACACATTAAAAAAAGGTTGAAAACCCTTGCTTTACACAAATTCACCAAGCTTCATTTGAGAACAGGGTGGATAAAAATCAACTTTTTTTTCTAAATCAAAAAATTTGATTTTTTTAATTTAAATCAGATTTTTTTATTTAATCATATTTTTTGTTTTTTTGTTAAGATGCTTTTAAAAATATAAACCTATATAAAGATAGTTTTAATTTAAGGTATGTTAATGCTCAAAGATATCATCATGGAATAGGGATAATAACCCCCAATTATATACTATGTGAGACTATATATTAATGTAGCCTTTTTAGAAAAGTTTTATAAATAGGTCACAACAGGCTGCGGACTATATAAGGGACCCAATCTCATCAGGTTCCCAGAGGCTCCTGTGTAGATTAGTAAAGATTAAAGAAAACCACTCTACCCAATGGGACTCCGTACTTGAAGATCCCATTAAGCATCTTTGTGATGCTTAGTTTCAGTTCTCAAACTGTGGATTTGTGTCTCCAGAGATAACATTCTTAACAGCAGTATATGGATATGAGAGATAACAGACCTGATTGAATACCCATCAGCCCTATTGTCTCTTTGAAAGTTTGTGTACACAGAGTCAAGCCCTTACTTCTCTCTAAAAGTGCAGTTTCAAGAAGTTAAATGAATAGAGGATTGTTGGGGGTAAAGTAGATCTGGGCAAGGAGGAAGAGTCTAGAGAGAAATGCAAGGAGGGATGGGCAGTAGAAACAAAAGAGAAACATTTCAAGCAGAATACTCCAGAAGTCTTGGGGGATACGTTTCTGAGTATAGTCTCTTCATTGATTTGAGGTCTAGTGAGGGAATGGTATGGTAGAAGGGGAAACCTATCATGGCAGCAGGCTTGCCAGGCCATAAAAAAGACTCTGTTCGGGAATATTTTAATGAAGTCTCTACCTGTGGGCAGGACAGGCATGTGTACAACATGGTAACAGTGCAACAAAGAAACGCAAGGCCCGGTTGCCCAAATGAAACAACATCATGAGAAATGCTCCTTCTTAGGAGGAAGCTGCTTTGAAGATGATGAATGGAACATGTCTGAACATGCAGGATCTCCACATTAGTAAACTTTCTTAATTCACACTTCTTTCTTAAGGACTGCCTGTCTTCCCTGCCCATACCTTTTGGATGAATTCTGGACAACCCGAATTCTCATAAAAATGTTTGAGCCAAAAAATAGTTGTTAGTTTATAGAACTATCATATTTTAATGCAATTGTGATATAAAATAATGGCTGAAATAGGCAGATCTTCTTTTTACAGTTTAATTCCTAAAGTAGTACCAAGTACAATAAGTAGTACTAAATGAGCAGTACTGTAATGACTACATTGACTTCTTTTGTTCAGATGGATCCATCCTCAACATACAGAACTCTG